TGTATTGTACGAAAACGTTTCAAGCTCACAGTAATTGGCAGTTTAATAGCTAGTGGTCTTAGTTAGTGAAGTTCAATGGTTAGAAACCGTGCAGAACTTAACAGTTTTAAAGTCACTGAGTTAGGAAAATCAGCTGTCACCAAGAAAGCGACTTTCGATGATAAACAACGGGTGTGTAAAGCGCGAAAGAAAGCAAAATGAACAAACAAATGCGATATTCCTTACACTCTCACGCAAAAGCAACAATAATGCACCAAAACAGGCAAATATGCACGAAGGCCGACAAAATAAAACTTTTCAATCAACGCATTTTATGACTAAATCTAGTCAATTTATTGGAATTTGGCTTCAATAAACTTTTTTCGGTGTGAATAACACAAATTAGAACTGCTGAGCACTTTGTAAAAGAGATAAACTTTGGAAATTCTTTCAAGCGAATGTTTAAGTGACCGCACAGTACGGACGTTGCCAGACGTACTAACACAAATCTTATTAGCTACAAAAGAGTTAACGCAGTTTTCAGTAAAGACCTAAAAGCAGCAAAAAGGGAGTCCCCAGAAAAGTTAACGTCAAACATAAATCCTTCTTCAAGCCCAAAGAAGATATGGTCGGATATAAAAATACTTACTGGATCCTCTTCCGCTTTAAGTATCCCCTTTATTTATGGAGAGCTAGAAGTATGCACCAGAAGACATCGCTGAGCAATTTGCCAAATCATGGTCTGAATATTCCCATGATTCCAATTTCCATTCCCACTTCAACATCTTAAAGAACAAAATCATACATGATAATTTCTCCAACCTAACCCCTAGACCGAAAGCAAACCTCATAGAATCTCCAATATAATTAAATGAATTTGATTCTACTGTTGCAAAGCTCTCAGTTAAAACCCCTGGCGCGGACAAAATATCTTACCCCATCCTAAAAAGCCTGCCCTATATTGTAAAATTCAGACTTGTAAATTTTTACAATGAAATTTTCAATTCTGGAATTTACCCCTAAGAATGGAAAACCGCCAATATTATCCCTATACCGAAACCCAATAAATCATCTAAACATATAACGAACTTCCGTCCCATATCCTTACTCCCCTGTATGTGAAAAATCCTAGAAAAAATGATTTCTGTCCGGACTACTAGGTTCTCACCAATTTGGCTTCCAAAAAGGCCTGGGGGTCACCGAACCCCTTATATTTTGAACATTTCGCATCTACAGCCTTGGCATCCGGCGACCATGTCTCAGCACTTAAAATCGATTTCGAAAAGGCATTCCATAGAGTCGGCCCCCACATCGTACTTGGGCAACTTAAACAATGGAGAATCGGAACCAAAATGTTTAACTTCGTCAAATCATTTTTGAGCGAACGCAAGTTTTCAGTACGCGTGAATAACCACCACAAATCATAGATATACAGCCTCTACAACGGTATACCGCAAGGTTCTCAATTGCTCAAAATCAGCTCAATTATTGCCTCTAGTGCGTCCGTGGAACATTTTACCTATACTGACGATATTTTAATTTTTTCTAAGTCGAAAGACCTGAACGAAATTAATTATTCTTTTTCAAAAATTTTAAATGAAATATATAAGTGGTCGGAAGTATCTGGAGCCAACATCTCAGCAAGTAAATGTTCTACGTTCCACATATTTAGAAAACGCAAATGCTCCTTCCCCACCATATCCTCTTCCAATGTACAAATCCCACACACTGACACACTAAAAATTTTAGGTTTAATATTTGACAAAGGTCCAACATATAAGGAACACTGTAAAGCCCTTAGAATAAGTATGCTATCGAGACTCAATTTTATTAAATTTGTATCCTCAAAACATTGTTATATTCATGCACACACTCTTGTTAATATCACCAAAGCATTATTACTATCCAAAATCGATTTCGGACTTTGTATATACGGAAACTGTGCAAAAACCAACATAAAGCTCCTATACGCGCCCTACCATACCGCAGCTAGAAGAAGTATCCGAGCATTCCCGACATCGCCAACAAGTTTACTGTAATCTGCTGTTTTAAATGAGTAACGCTCCGCTCTTGATTTTTTACTGGTAAAGCAACATGAGTTGCGTGAGTTTATCAAGGACAATTCTAGTGGTGGGTTGTGAGAATCAACTGGTGTAATCAAAGCATAACTAGGGGCTATTGTGACGTTGGAAACGTCGTCCACAAAAACTAGGTCCAGACATTTACCTAAGTTATTACTAATAGAGTTGATCTGGTAAAGACTAAGGTCTGAAAGATCGTTCAAAAATTGATTGAAGAGATCACGAGAGGAATTTGGTACTAGAATACCATCTATTAGATCCCAAGAAACACCCGCAAGATTGAAGTCACCCAGGACAATAATAGTATCGGAGGGCTTCACCATGGTATGTAGAGAGAGCAGTAAGGAGGAGTGTTTTAAATAAAGAGAAAGGCTCGAGTTAGGTGGTATATAAGCAGCAAGAAGATAAACGCTATTAGAATGATATTTAATTCGAACGCAGAGGAATTCAACTTTCTTGGTGTCAGTGAACTCATTTTCTTCAGAAGCAAGGTCAGTCTGGACCGCTATTAAGAGGCCTCCACCTTTTTTATTTAAACGGTCATTTCGAAACACTTCATACTTAGGACACAAAATTTCGGAGTTGGACACATTCTGCTTGAGCCAGGTTTCAGTAAACAAGGACTTTGAAGTCCAAATGGGACTGCAAGTGTAACCTTGATAGCTTTGTGTTGAAACCTCTCACATTTTGGTAGTAAATGCTAATAGGTTACTTATTAGTTTTATGATGCCGAGGTGGAAGGTGGAAGTTGAGCCAAATTTTGCTCTTGCGGTCTAGATCTAAATTCAAATTCGCGAATGAAGGCACCGGTTGGCCAAAAAGATGGGCTCATTGCTCTATCAAAGCAGTCTTCGGATATGTCTTTTTTAAAAGAAGAAATGCTTCTTTCATACGAGAATCTTGCATACATGCAACTCATTTGCTATCAGCTTGGAAGTTAAATACCCCTTCACATCATCGACAGTGGTATCTTTTGAAAACCTAGATACAAAGACCGATTTTTTGGAAGGGACACGGATTAAATCCCTCGGGACGGGGTTAACGTAATCGGAAACGGTATCAGATGAGGTAGGGGATTGCGGTACAGCTGTTAAATCCTTGGAAGGAGCAACGATGGGTCCGGATGTAGTAGGGGGTTGAGATGTAGTTGGGGAGTTTTTGGAAGGAGCAAGGACTACTTCCTTCGGAGCAGTGTTGACGCAATCGGAGACGGCTTCAGATGTGGTAGAGGGTTGAGATGAAGCTGTTCAACAGGAATTTAGTGAGGCTCCAGTAGAAGAAGGACATGGTTGGGGAGATTCAGTCCGCTGAGGAATCGGTGTGTTAAAACTTATGAGTTCTTTTTTCATAGCTGGAGTCAAAAGTGGGCGGTTCTGCGGAAGATCAAGGTCCACAGTGATGGGATTCAACAAAATATTTTCCACGCCTCTCCTACGTGTTTTAAGACCTTTTCCAGGAGAAGGAGAGGAGGAAGTATCTAGTAATTTAAATTCTTTGAATTCATCCTCATACTTCTTGAACTTCTCGTTGAGAAGTTTTAGCTCTGGCTTATCTCCGAAAATCCATTTCTAGCGGTTCTAAATAGTCTACAGAGATCCACAACAGTTTTTTTACACTTTGGACATGACCATCGAAGTCCATTGTCACCAATAATCATATCCAGAACTCTCCCATTAATACCAGCACACTTTAAATGAGACAGTTCATCGCAAAGCCAGCACGCCACAAAACGGTCCGAACCGGCTTTTACAATACATTTTTCGAACAGACAGGACATTTTCTACGAATTTTATTAAAAAAGAATAAAAATAGCGAAATTAGGAGTGTATTGTACGAAAACGTTTCAAGCTCACAGTAATTGGCAGTTTAATAGCTAGTGGTCTTAGTTAGTGAAGTTCAA